GGAGCACTATTTATCAATCTGTAATAAAAGACGTGAGGAAATTCTGTCTTTTTTAAAGACAAACATTTTTGAGGCGAAATACCCAAAAAGAAGTTGGTAAAAAATGAATTCGCATCAACAATATAGAACTTATCTACATTTATTGTTATCTCTATTTAGCTGTTTACAAAATGAGCCTCTATCAAACTCCATTTTCTCAGGTTAAACTGCTTATAGACTTCTGGAAAGTAAAAAAACCACTTCAGTTGAAACATGATGGTCAAGATTGTAATGTGATTTTCCGTTTCGGACAATTCAATTTGTCTTTGCCGTTTACAAATGGCCTTAAAGGTATCAGCAACGTCTTAGACCAAAACCCGTAATTGCATTCCGCAATTAATTTTCGTGCGCGACGTATTTTCCATTAATGGTATTTGCCTTGAAATGCCGGCAATTAAGAGAGTCGGGTTGGTTGGAAACGCAAAGTGGACGACTCACGCACACAAGCTTGAGGAAGCATTTCCATTGCAGGTGTTACCGACCCGTTTCCGCTTAATTTTCCATTTCCGTCTGGTAAAGGACAGGCATCATCATGCCTGGAATAAATTTTCTTATTCCTGATGTTTCTCCAGTTGGGAAAAGTTGAATCATTGGCAAAGTTTTGCCAGAACTCTAAGCACATCCATTCTGAACTTCTTAAGTTGCTGGAGCATCTAATATGCAATGTGGCCGCATAATGGTCGAAAACGTATAGGAAAATGCTTCTAATTCAACTTTTCCCTCACGAGCAAAGGAAAAAGTTGGAAACACGCAAATTGGGTACGTTTACCCTCGAACCCCAGCATTTCTCTTCATCAACTTGTTGTGTGTTCAGAAGAGATAAAACTGCTTTAATGGGGTTTTCTTTAAAATACTAAGAAGACGTAAATTAATAATCGCCCATCTCGGTGCCGTATCTGCTTCAGTGTTGGGCGTGTATTTATTTTGAAAAATGTTTCGCCCAAGCTGCTTCGCGTCGTATAAATCTCCCTTAAAACGTTTTGCGGGTGATAAAAGTGTCTTTGTGCAGAAAAACGTTTTAAGCACTAAATTATTTTTACCGCGTAAACGTGATCTGCCACCTCTGCCCTATTAAATCCCGCCCGAGAGCCAATGGAAATTTTCTTATCTCCTGCGAACTTGCTGTTTCCGATCCAAATTTAATGGCAAAACTCCTACATTGACTCTTTCCAAGACGCAATTTATAACTCCTCGTCCTGATTAGACAAAATTGAAACTGTTCCAAAGCGCGTTTTATTATTCATCAACAAAGCCTTTTTACGAAATGGGGTACTTCTACATTTTTACGAGCCGGGCCCTCAAAATATACAGTGGATGAAATAAAAATCTTTGAAAACTCATCAGGAACATGCATCAAAAGTCGCTTTACGATGCTGTTATGAAACTTATAAAGCGGTCCAAATGAGCCCGTTTTTTCGCCTGCAATTTAGTGCTCTGCCCTGCACTATAAAACTTCCGGAATGATATTTTAGCAGCCGCGCTGGGATAATCTCCGAACTGAAACACATATTTTTGGCACAGCAACATTTTAGGATGATCGTTTTATTTTCAGCTCTTAACTAGTTTTTAAAAGTTTCCACTATATTTAGATCGCTTGGGTACTATTAAAGCACTTTCCAAAGATTACAGCGATTTTTTGAAAGTGCTCTTTGTGTGGCTGACTCGAAGGACCAAACATACTTATATAAAAAACCACTAATAAACTGGCTGATTATTATGCTTGATCTTCTTTTCATTTTGTTGAAACAATTTTCACGTCGACCGATCGGAGATCAGATTTGCCGTCTTTTATTATTCATAAATCAAGCAGAAGAGAAGCACATACGGTCGGATTGTCACTGGAGCGCTTCGGGTTTTGCCGATTTTTGAGCGATATATCCATTAAAGAAATCCCCCGGCGTTTTCTCGTGATTCGATATAGCGTTTATCCCATTTTCCGGACAAAAATCAAATTTGGGACACCTATTTCATCGCATCCATATTTTATGCCATTTTGTTGCCCGCTGACCTTCTAAATACACGTTTATAGCTAAAAACACGAACTGGGGCTGTTTTTCCAGTAAACTGCAAACACCCCCTATTGCATATACTCAAAATGAATATTCCACAGCCCAATTTGTGCTAAATTCCGCGAAATTAGTCGAAATTTGTCCGTGTAACGTCTGCTTTGTTGAGCAGTTTCTGTGAGCCGATCGACTACATTAACCTAATGAAAAGCAACAGAAAGCGGCGGAAAAATAACGAAATTTTAAACACAAACTCCTTGAGCCATTAGTTACCGCTGCTGTTAAGTTTGTAGGTAAATTCAATTTGGTTCCAGTTTAAAAATGCGCTTAAAGTTGCTTCTCGGGCAAAGTTCTAATTGAATCGCAATTTAAATAGTGTCGCACAAAGTTTGCGATTCCAAGTCGGGAAAGAAATGCCTCCTAATTACTTTTTGCACGAACAGCAATCGGTACATTTGCCAAGTTTCAAGCTAGATTAGTTCGCAAACTGCTTCATATTAAACGGCTGTTTTAATTTTTTTCATTCATATTTTGTTCCAGAATAAAAGAGAAAGTTGTTGGTGGAAAGTCAAAAGTCCTGTTCATTCCTGTTTTAAACTCATAAAAAATACATTTTTCCCCTTTCTTCGCCATCGACAGTGAAGGCGCAAACTTGACGAACCCAAAATCTCCTCGGATTTTCAGCTTAATAATTCGCGCGAAGGACGCAACAAGTACGCTGCAAAATCATCTACCGGCGTCGAAACGGAAAAATTACCTTAAACGAGGCAAAAGAAAATTATTTATCCAAACACGAGGCCAATTTATATTCTAAACCAAGAACGAGCGTTTTAAAATTTGATTAACCCGATGCGAAGCACTGACGGACTCCTCAGAAAATTGCCAACTTGGTTCGAGGGTCGTGATCAAAGCTCGAATTCTTCATCGGCAGCCGATAAAGAGTTTCCGAACTTTTTCACTTCAATCAGCCGCATGCTAATCGAATAGTGTTAAGCTGAGACTCTGGAGAATCAGTTTGCGATTTTATAATTGAAATTCTTAACTTTCTGCGATTAAAAAAATTTTTGCTGGCGTTGCCAAATTGCAAACACTAGATTTTATTAATTAGGCAAAACCTTCCCCTTCAAGTTCTCTAATCACTTCCTGAACTATCAACCGATTTGCTGCTGCAAAGGACTTCAATTTGAAAAGTTCCAGGGATAATTGGAAAAAAATTATAAAATACTCTGGAAAGTTTCCGGAAAAAAACCTCATTAGGATCGTGCCCTTGCGCCCTTTAACGTCGATGATAACTTTATTAAATGCTGTCTTTGCCCCGACCTGCGAAAAATGCTAATCGACAAGTTTGTAGTTTGATTGAAATACTTCACAAACTTTGGGGAATAATTAATAAATGAGTATGAGCGAAACAAGGACATTTATAAAGTGCGTTGATGAGACGGAGAACGAATACGTTGTGGGCGGTTCTATTGGCGCCGGCCAATCCAATCCAGTTCTCCATGGCAACACCCACCTAACAGTGGAACGTGTTTCTTTCTTTCCTTTCACACGCATTTGCAGTGCATCCTTGTTCCGCTGATTATTTATCGGCTCCTGCGAGACTCGTCGACAAATATATGGAGTTTATTTTCGGCAAACATTGCCGTAGTGTACGGTTTTGTGTTTCCTTTGCGAAATTGCAAACAAGATGTTGTCTTAGCAGCGCGGAAACCGCGATGTCAGAAGCAAACTTAATTACGACGAGAATTATGGAATGTTCGCCGTGAATTAGCTGAGAAAACTAGAATAAATATGCGGCAAGTTTGCATTTTACACAGGGAGTTTCCTTGTTTTGGGTGAAACCGAGATAATCTAATAATATATTAAACGACCAGGCAAGAGTGTGGGTAGAACCGAAGTGGTTTGAGCCTTTAATCACTCTCTGTGATGAAGCAACAGAATGAAAATGAGCAAATTATTATAAACGGGTTTTGCAAGGAAAACCCCAAATCAAACAATCATTATCTTTAATTCAACTTCAAGCCGGACCAGGAATTTAATCAGACCAAAGAAGGATCGGCCCTAATTGCCCTAAAACAACGTTATTCCGTTCACATCACGAACCGGAGGGTCCGCAAATTCACGAACGTCCGTCAATTACGGCCATTCTCCTTCTGCGCTGCTCAGTGAGTTTCATCATCAGTGATCAGTTCATCATCAGTGAACATTTCCCTCCTTCACGTGTAATCCGTAAATGGTACTTACCGAACATCTGGATGTGCATCCAACATGGCCCGCATCAAAGTGGTGCCGGACCGCGGTACTCCTCCAATGAAGATGAGCGGCATCTGCCTACCATATTCGTAGAGCTTGTTGTCGCTGCCCATGATCGTCTTCTGCTGCGTGGAGACCATGCGAGGTTTGCTCGGTTCGCTCAGAATCGCCTGAACCACAAAGTAGAGCACCACCACGCAGCAGAAGAAACCAGCGGCCTTCCGCAGACCGCCACGCATTGGCCTCGGAAGCTGCATAAGCGTTGCGTGGTCACGCCATCTTTGCACACTCAGAACACTGCTGGTATTGATGGTCGTTCACCTGAAGCAAGAAGAAATCCAGGATCAGAAGTCGAGGGCGTTTGATGTGGAGGATTTATAAAAATGGATGGACAAAATTTCTGGTTGGACAACTAGGCAAAAGTCTGCAGTAGAAACAGATCATGTGGCATTAACGGAGGGTTGAAACCGCTCAGAAGAACCCAACATTTATTTGGGATTTTGCATCAGAAGGGTTTAGCGGGTCTGTTTCTGAGCGCGCTCCGGCGATAAAAACCGTATAGAATTTGAGCGATTTGAGGTTTTGTGCAAAACTAGAGTATAAAAAAACGTTTTTCGAAATTCCTGGTCATTATTTTTCTCTAGAGACCAATTCGCAATTAAATCATTTCCGGCCGAGTCGGCTTATAGGCGCGCTGACAGAACTCGTCTATGCCTGCGCGTGGAGAGTCAGACCTACTATACGACAAATCGTCGGTTATATGCCAATAAATGATTTTTTGAATTTAATGTAGTCCTGGTGAAAATCGTTTTGGGGCCCAGTCACAGGCACAATTGCACACAAATTTATTCCTTTTCAGCACTTTGTGTTTTCCGAACACTGTCAACGGGCAGTTAATCAAATCAGTTGACAAATAAGATCACGACCTTTTTTTCTTCTTGCTTTCTATAGAACGGAAGGACCTAATTTTTCCAGTGCATCGAAGCAAGTTTGCGTGACGGGTTTACTTACTTAATCGCTTCCAGACAGCTTCAAAAACACATTTCCGCCCCCAAACTATCCATCACACGTGAATGAACGGTCGAAAGCAACACAATGGAAGAAAATTACTATTTTAAATCATTTTTAGTGGATTGTTCTCATAGCGACCGCACATCCAGAACATTGTGTGGCTTTAATACTTGATTAAACTGTTTGTACGAGCGGTATGAATGTTTTGATGGCGAATCTCCAGATAACATATACAAGACAGCCATTTAATGCAATAAAATTAACTTATTCCGGCTGTTTACCAATTGGAATGTTTCAGAATTGATGTGCACAGAAATCGAATTAGACGCAAATTCACAGGAATAATAATGAGCCCCTACAAAATTCGCCTGTGTAGACGACGCCTTAATAAACGAGGCTTTGTTATGGGAAACGTGATTTTGTGTCGCAATTATGATGACACATTTGTGCTAATTATTGCCACGCAATTGTACCGGCTCAGTCTCTGTGGTTGGAAGCACAAATTTTATTCAAATTTATTCCACTATAAAGAGCCAATTATACCTGGAAATATTGCCCGCTTTTATATGGAAATTACTGCTATTGGCTGAGGCATCAAGCATGTGAAAATACCGCTGAAATTTCCTACAAGCCCAAAAACAACAATCGAATTGATTGAATTATCCCCGTACAAAGGGCGAATTCAACCCTTCGACCTGCCTTGAAACCGCAACATAAAATTCGTTAATTGCCTTAATAAGTACGCAATTCTGGCTTTCGATCTAATCTACCCTTGGCTCATTTACATGAATTTTACGAGTGGCAAGGGATTTGGTAATAGTGTAAGTTTTCCTGGCTGGAAAATCCACTTTCCCTGCTTCGGATTTATGGACTCCATTCGGATTTTCTACCAATAACAAACCCATAAAATCACTAGAAATTGCTAGTTGCTCAAGTCGCTTCTGTTGTTCGTTCTTCTATTGAGTGTTTGTTCCCGATTTATTATTAAAGAAACGTTAATAACAACAAATTTTCCTCTCGCTCGGTGGACAAGTAAAGGAAAAAGAACGCATTGTCTTTAGTGTGGATCGATATCCAGATCAAAGCCCTGATAAATTACTGGCAAAAACCGACCTTTTAAATCACTGTATTAACAGTGCGAGAAAATTATTAGAGCTTATCAATTAAGCTTCGATCAGCTTTTGTTCGACTCGATCTAGATGAATTCTCGTCTGCGCTCGAGACTGATAAAAGGGAAGCTGTGTGCTCGGTGTGATTAATTGAGCAAACTGAATTAATAACCAACTCTGAAAATGTAGGACATTGTTTAGAGCATGTTACAAATCTACTACAGTTCACAGGCCGCTGAACAATTGGAAAATGTGCGAAAAATCATTTTCAAATGAGAAATTAGCCCGGTAACGACCTGGAAATAAACAGGCAAAATGCCTAACAGATTGAGGAAAGGAAAATGCAAAAGTTTGAGCCAATATTTCGTCGCATCATATCTACTGAAAACAGGCAAGCAATTTCTCCAAGCCGTCCCACTATCAGCTACAATCATCCATCATTTTTCCATTGAAACTTTCCGAAAAATACGAAATAACCTGCAGAGTTAATGCGGCTGATGCATGCAAATGGTGCAGGTTAACTGGAACTTTCTTGTCCAGTCATCTGGATCTAACGCTGGATTGCTCCAGCTTTCGTTGCAAAATTTTATTTTGCCCTTGCTGCATATGAACATGGTTTACTGTGGCTGAAATAAGCTTTAATAAGCTGAAACGCACCCGAGCCTGATTTTGTAGAACCGTATTTTCTGCTTATATGGACGAACGTAGGCGACCTGAAGCCAAATCACCTTCCATTATTAACTCAGAGAGAAATAACTATTTCCAATTGAACTTAGGAGTTTGTGCGTGTTTAATTTTTAATTATACTTCAACTTGTGCAACAACTAGAGATTTCATAGGAAATCCGAGCAATATTCTGAGCAACAGTTCAACATGCGCAAGTTCAATAACAGAAGTTTGACTCCAAAGTGCTCGAAACGTGTATTAGAACAGTTAAGCCTCTCATAATTGAAGTTTAACTAGTTAATAGGAAAGCCATTACTGACTCTTTGGAGCTATCGGAGCTGGCTGATGGTTGATAACAAGGTTTAGATGCAAATTAAATTAGAAGTTGCAAAGAGTAATAAGTAAGCAAGCAAGCATTTTCCAGCTGTTTCTCAAGCCAGCAGTTGCCTTAAAATTATTTTTAAAACCATAAAGTTTAAAATACGCTCATTTAGAACCCAGTAAATATTGGGTAAGTAATTGATTAAAAGAGTACTGCGACTGCGAGACTGTTTGCATCAGAAGGAGATGATCTGATATAATTTTTGTTAAGAAAAATGTCTGGCTAAAATATGTGTTCGGAAATATCGGGCGAATGGTACAATGAAAGGGTTTTTTTCGCGGCTTAAGCGGACAAATCATTTTTGGAATAAGACAAATTTACTGTTTTCGGCGAGTCTTTTTCAGCCGAAATCGTCTCAAAAAGCCAATTCTGCCCTCAAAACACCTGCGACCTCTATGAGGTTTCAGCAGGTTCAACCAGGATCGTTTTTTTATTATTAACTGGCTTAAGAGGGGTTTTAGCGGGGTTTCGAGGGCAGAATTGGCTTTTTGAGACGATTTCAGCTGAAAATGAGTACCCAGTCGATGGGTCTAAGACGCGTTTCGAAAAAACCATCTTCAAACCGAGTGGGGAATATTAGAAAATTCACCCATCGACTTGGTACTCATTTTCAGCTAAAATTGCCTCGAAAAGCCGAATATGGCATTGAAATTACGATTTAGTGAAAAAATTGCGTTTGTTTGGTTGGAAAATTGTCTCAAGCTAACATGAAGAATTTTAATTGACAGAAACAATGCCAGAAAAATCGGACTGTTGCCTTATTGTTCAATTTTCAGTAGCAATTTGACCTTTTTTCAAAAATCTGCACCTAATTGGCTTCCAATTGTAGACAAAGCGGTTCTGGCTGCAATCAATCCAAACACACCTCAAGTAAACAGAAATTGAGTGCTTTAAATCAGCAAAAATGAAAAAATTTCGACGTTTCTCGCTTACAGTGGACCCATTTTTCATTTTTCAAACAAATTTCATCGTAAAATAACTACCCTGTCGGGGATGATTTTCTGTAAGAAATAGGCGCCGTCGTCAACAAAAAGAGTTTTTTTTTTTTAATTTTCCTCATCGACCTTGTACGCGTTTTCAGCTAAAATCGCCCCAACAAAAGAAACTGGCATTGAAATTGTGAATTAGTGACTCGTTTTAAAAAAACTATCAAAATATGTTGAAAAAGGGGGTGCAGCAAGTCAAAAATAAAAAAATCAATTGATTCCAGGGACGAACTAAAAAGTTTTAGTAGTTTTTTAAATGAATTAAATATTTTAAAAGAACGAAAACTCAAAACAAAAAGTTTCCTTCCTGTTCAAGTGATCATAACTTGTAGTCTAACGATACGAAATCGCTATCATTCCAGCTAATCCTCCTTAATAATTATCTCGTTTCAAACTGGGAAGTTCGCTGAGAACTCCAAGGTAAAATTGGTTTAAATCGCTGAATTGCTGTTTAAGTAAGTGCCTTAGTTGTTGCAAAGTCCATCCGACTGCGATATTCATCCCTAATTTATAATTTGGTAGGATTATCGAAGAAGATAATTGTCTTGGGCTGGGGTAATCCGGTTATAAAGCGTTTCCATTGGGGTTAATCACGATTAATCCTGCTTGCAGATATACAAAACATTTTTTTGAGATTAGAGAAGTCAAGAAACTTTATTTGCCCCGGAATATTGAAAGTGTCTGAATTGGGGAAGCAAAAACGTACTGAATTGTGTATCATACAGGCGGAAATTATGAAGGCAGTTTAGGCTGCAAGAAAAGCGCAAAAAACATCCCTCATTTGCAAATTTTCGTCCGTGGAATAATTTAAACAAAATTCCACTTCAACGGTCAAACATGGCAAGCAAAGGGCCAATATGCGGATTAAAAAGTGGCCTTTTCGCCAGCAATTTGCTAATTAATGAAAATTCGCTAGATTTGTATTTCTCCCCGATAAACACGCAATATTGAAATAAACCCGCCCTGCCTGCTACAAGCTGAGATGAAACATTAATTACTTAATTACAAGTCGGAATTTGTTAACTGATTTCAAGGCGGAAAATCTAATTTTTCTACGGTTGTTCTTCCACTTTCTCATTTACATACTTAAAATCGATCGCGCCTCGGCCCCTTTTTATATTGTTTGCGATTAGTTTGGGATCGTGTATTTTTGGGACACCATGTCATTGTTAAATTATTATCACCTTATTTATTTAATTTAATTATAATTAAATTAAATTAATCATTATTGAGAAATTTCCTTGAAAAGTGCAGTATAAATCGAGTTGCAAGTGGCTTCACATCGACTAAAACGCGGAAGTAAAAACCGACTGCCAGACAAGAACACGGTAAATAGAGTTTTACGATATCGGCGATAAGAAGCAAGTACACAAATATTTCAAATAAAATGGAAAATGCTAATGGTTTGTTTGCGTTTCGGAATTGCGCCCGGCTGCAGTTTTGTTTCCGCTTCGTTTGCAATCACGACTCCAAGTTTACGGCGCAAACTTCCAAAAATTAAAGCGTCAATATTTCACTTCCTCTCTTCATCTACAGTCTAGAATCAAATTTCGCTTATTCGATTCGTATTCGCTTGATATTTTGAATATAATAATAATGCGTTTTACGACAGAAATGCGACATTGATCAAGTGAATTTCAAATAATCAATTTAACAGACGGTTATTCTTTGGAAAAACCCTAAAAATGTGTACAAAGTCTGCAAAGTTTTCGTGCACCCATATATTCAGAGGGCGCATTCAAAGTGATTTTACCAAATATTGGATTTTCCCTCCCATTATAGAGTTGCAGTGTTTATTGAGGCGGGGCGCCGTCTGTAAATAAGTTTATCCCTCGCTTCAGCCATATGCGAATATGGAAAGATGCTGTTTCAAGCCAAGATCGCATTATTCGGATAAACAAAGAACGATAACTCGGATATTTTCTTGTTGAGCAACTTTAATGGAAATTCGCCTGTGGAAATCCAATGTTAACACTCCCGTTACTCTGGAACTTCTGCGAACCTGCACTCAATATGCAGCAAATTTCCATAAAAATCCCAATTAATACCCGCGGAAAATGAAAAAGTATTGCCCTTAAAAGTCTCGGAACTTTCTGCGAAAATCTGCCCCCCATATAAAGGGCCACGTAGTCGAAGCAGCAATTTAAACCAGTCATAAAACACTTTGAATTTATTTAAAACACTTGAAGTTTGCTGGCAAAAGCTCCCCTCGAATATTAAAAGCTGCTTCCCTAAGCCGAACACGTAAAACTGTGGGACGCAAAATGGCATTACGAAGACTACAACCCAATCAGTCACCGAAAGTGCATGGATCGATCAAACTGTTTACTTTCAGAAGGCATCGATATTTTGTTGCAAATTCACTTGAAGTCGTCGAATTTATACAAATACTTTTTTAGCGTTTCCATTCCATGCCAAAGTTCATGCAATTGCATCCATCCAAACTTTTCAAAGCTTAAAACCAATGCAGCAATGCTGAAAGTTTGGGGAGGACGACGTAAAAAAATCCTCACTTGGACACTAATGGAAAAACAACTGAAAATGTTCCACTCATGCAAGATCAGAGTTTCATCAGTATCAGGATGAAATTGCCTCCAATTGCACCCATTCAGGCAATTTTCCAACCTTTTTAAAGCATCCAAACTTGTTCATTCCTGGATTTGGATGAAATTCAAGCAATTTTCGAGACATTTTCAAGCTCTAACTAACGCAGCAAACTGAAAGTTGAGGAAGACTTTGTCTTAAGTTGCTTGGCCTCTATGGGCTAGCAAATAATGACGTCACTGCCAAATAACTTGGGCAGACTGTACTTCACCCAAAAGAGACAGTTGATGATTTATTTAACGAACGAGGGTTTCATAAATTAAATCGGTTCAGTCACTTACCTTAGCTGCAATCATTGGTTGTCCAGTCACGCTCTCATCTACAACAATGACCGAACATTAGCAAACGTTTCAGCTAAGAGAAGAGAAATAAAAGTAAATTACACTAATGAATGGAAAATGACACAAAAAAACGGCGTTTTCGGGCCGCTTTCCCGTTTTCCGGGGGGCTTTCAGGTAAACAATAATTAATGATCGGATTTCCGTCATTTAAGAGCAGAGCAAAGCTTTCGCCGTCACTTCCATACCATAAATCTGTTATTTACACCTTTGTCAGGTGATTACAAGATTCATCCATCAATTATAAAGCCGAATTCGTGGCCTTTAACTAATATCCGAATACGCAAGGGCTGTTGCTGAGGTAATGAAGATAAATCGGCTCGCTTACGTTTTACAACTTTTTAATCGAATCGAGTTGGGCCGAGGTGTCGAGTGGTTGGCTAAAAGCCGCTTTCAGATTTCATTAATTAAGCAAAAAATGCTGGCAAAATTCGATTTTACAATCAACCAACAAGGTTATAAAAATATCGGGGAAAAACGCATTGATTTATGGAGGTTGGTAGAAGGATACTTACTGACGCCTTTACTGAACACAAATCTTATGTGTCGGTGAATTTAGGGTTGCACAGTGACAGAAGGGCCACAATAAGGAACGGAACGCATACATCATCTAGTCAGGTAGGGTTTTGCTTTCTTAATAATCAAAATAAATTCCCCAGTCGTCTGCTTTAAGGGTATTTTCTTGGGAGAGGGTCATTTTTTATGGTGGGATTATTGCGTCGGCGGGAACACGCCGATTCAATAAAGGGCTCGCCAAATGACTGATCCAAAAGATAAAAAACAAACAAACAAAGGAGGGAAAACGTGCATTTGACACAGGCATAAACGACTATTGTATTGAACAAAAAACTTATTATCAAAAGAGTTAGACTTTCGAGGCCATTCCTTGAAACTAATGGGTTTTTAGGCCGTCGTTCGGTAGAATTTCTTCCTGACGTTTCGCAAACACGAGCGGCTTGCATCTTCAGAAGTGGTTTACTTGAAAAACACTTGAAAGTCTATCTCTTATTGAATTCGTTCCTCCTGGATTTTAATTGTAACGATGAGTCTTTAATGGTCATACTTGTGATAATCGCTTCTTTAATAAGAAAAACCGTTCAATAATGAACACTGATTTTTTTCAAAAAAATTAAAACAGCCTATAAAACACTAAAAGTGCAACCAAAATCAGGTCCAGGGCAGTTAGGCAATGCCCTTGCAACGCTTTGGCGGTTTGACGCAATGCTGCAGACAARAACAGGCATATTCGGACGCGAGAGAAACGCAGCTGGAGCGATCAATTTGTCTCGCTTTGTTTATTGCACTGTGCGGCTGCMYCGACAAGGACAGGKATAGACGAATTTGCTGTGTGCATTCTGGCGTCGCCGAACTCGCCCAGAAGAAAACAGGAAAAGCATTTAAATCCCACAACCAATTAAATTGGCTCTTATAAAAAAGGTTGGGTCCTAGTTAAACACAAATCAAATAAATTGCAGGATTTGGAAATTCGATTCACCTTCCCGGTCTAACTTAAACATCAAGTTTCATCAACAGAGATAGACTTTCGGGGCCATGCCTTGAAACTAATGAGTTTTTCGCGGGAACGCTTACACTGTTCAAGCAAACCACTTCTGAAGATGCAAGCCACTCGTGCTTGCGAAACGTCAAGAAGAAATTCTACCGAACAGCGGTCGAAAAACCCATCAGTTTCAGATAACTTATTGTTGTGTTTCATGTACAAATAAATGGAAAAGTGAGACTAGAAGATGAAAAATTGTCACGTAAGTGCATGATAAATTAATGTGGCTTTTCCAAGAAAGTAGCGCACTATTCTACTGTCTGTGAATGATTAACTGATACTGTTCGGAAAAGTCAGGCAGCGAGCAAAGTTATAAGACCGACCATAACTATCTATTCTATGAGAATCTCGTTTATTTTTATTTAGTCGCTTCACCCGACTTACTGCTCAGCTTCAGAGGTTTATTTATGTTCAACCAGAACAGAGGCGTGGCGTTCAGAACGTTATTTATATGCAGTGGCCAAAAGTTTTGATGGCATTCGTCTAAAACTATTCGTTATGCATACTATCTATCCTGCATTCGGTGAAAACTAAGATTCTTCTTCGTTCCTCGATCTTTTCTTTGTTTCTGTTGCATTTTCGCCTATTTTCAATCTTTCCACTTGATTCATCCGTTGATTTTGTATTTCCTACTACCGATTTCTCATTGCTCTTGTAGTTTTCTTATTCATTTGTCCTGTATGTTTGTTGGTGGTTTTGCGTGTTTTTATTCGGATGTTTTCGGCTTCGCTAGAGCAAAAACACTCAATTGAAAACACCTGGAAACATAATTGAAATCTGCATTCTCCGCATAAGGAATTAAATAAAGAGTGTTTCCAGTTTACGCAAAAAAAATACAGAAACCGATTGCCTCATTTTCAAACCCGCGCTTAGGTTTTATTGGATGTTTAGAGCAACTTTAGAGCTGCAAAGCTCGATTAGATACTGCTGGATATAGAACGAAAGCACGCACTTCGGAAAAAATCATTAACAACATCGTCTATTGTTGCAAACCCGCGTTAAATTTTGTTCGGACATTTAGAGATCCGTTAGAGCAACTCAATTGAACACTTCTGATTACAGAATTAACACTTTTTGCGCACAAAGAATCCAGTTCATGCAAAAAACATGGTCCCTTTATTAAACCAGCGCTAAGATTTTACTGGATGTTTAGAGCAACGTTGGAGCTGCAAAGCTCAATTAGCGCCTCCTGGATAGAGAACTAGAGCACGTATTTTCTCGAACTAATTCTAACCTTTAGATTGGATAAAACTAAAATTTTTTCGGCATTTTGCCCATTTCAAGTAGTTGTTGCTATGAAAGGGGTTGGAAATTGCAAACCCGGTGCGCTACACTTTCATTAAACATTAATTACCCATTAAGGAGTGACGCTGGGGGTAATTAGGGCAATTAAACCGTACAAATTCAATGGAACACTTCAGGCCCTTCAGGTGCGCCCGTTTGGCGTGGAAACAGTGCACGAGAACCACTATTTTCTATACGTAAATTAGACGAAAAAGCCTTCATCTGCGTTAAAAAACACACTTTTTAAATTTAATCCTGTTAAGTGGCAAAACTAACACGAAACTCGTCTAAATTTGATTGAGGTGCCGCTACTTTAACAATAGTCTAATAAAAACACACGACTTGACCAAACACAACTTTGGTTTCACAGTTTGAAGCCTCCAAACAAGCAGTTTTGA